CATTTTCTAAGTCTAGCCTTTACAGTAGTACTGTCAAAGATTTGTGTTACCTCTCTACTCAGGTCTTCCCAAGTGGGCTTCCAGTTATCCCAGTTCATGGATTTACATGGCCACAGATGCCCCATGACCTGCCAGTTATCTGGTGCGACCATGTTAGAGGTACTGATCCCAACTAATCAATAGATAGCCATCATCGTAGTACCGGTTTCAAGGACTTATCTTGTGTTTGCACCATCCGATGCCAGTTTGCATTCCCCTATGTAACTCCAACATTGCACAGATGCCCGTATACACCAGTGTAACATAGGTGGTTTTCTAAATTTTCGCCGTCAGTGGGTTTTGAACTTCCAACCTACCACTTGGAAGGTTGACAACTTATTCACTTCACTAAGTTGCCACACTCTACTTTAATATAATTTAATAAAAGTTTAAAGCAATTTGAAGAAGTTTTCTTATTAATATATTTAACTGCGTCATAATATCTATACTCACCTTATATTTTTTTTATTTTTTTTAAACTAAAAGTTTTATAATATTAAAAACAATCTTTTATTATAAATTATTATTATACTTATTATTTTAATTTTAATTATTATAAATTATATTTTTAATTAAATTTTATTTTAAAAAAATTCAAATCTAAACTAAAACTTTTTAATTACTATACTTTCAAACAAGTATTTTACAAATTGGATATAAAGAAGCAATATTGCTAAATAGATATTAATACTATTCTTTTTTTAAAAACAATCTATTTTGATTAAAATTTTCTATAATATTGTTATTACATATAATACTTACTTTTCACAATTTAATCTCTTTTTAAAATTTTTATTTTAATATTATACTGCATTTGAACTTTTTACAAATCTTTGTATTTAATTATAATCTTTATTTTTAAGTTATAAAAATATTTTTCTTAAATATCTTTAGCCTAACTTGAATCATTATTAATTTTAACATAATGCTCTGCAAAATCAAATTAAAATTTAAATTTAAATCAAATATTTAAATATAATTGGTTAAATTTTTTAAAAATTTAATTAAATATATTCAAAATATTTAATTTAGATTCAAATTTTAACTTGTATTATGTAGAAGTCAAAGAGCTTAACCAATTAAGTTACAAAATTCAAATTTGCTAATTTATTATACTATAAAGTGATTTATTTAAGTAACTTTATATTACAGTTAATCCAAATCTTTCTAAATGCACCATTTTTATAAGCCTTCTTAGAGAGGGTTAACTGTAATCTATTTTAAATCAAAATAATCTTCTCAATAAGATAATTTTAATGAATTCAAATTTATTAAAATCTATGTATCGAACTTGCTAAAATCATTACATTGAGATTATTTTGTAATAAATTCGTTTAAAATGGATTAGTAGATTCAAAATTATTACTAATTACAAAAATTAGTCGATATGTTATTAGTGCGCAGAAAGCAGTTTTATAGATACGCCTAGGGTGGTTTCATTTGATCGTCACTATTAGCCAATCAAAATCAAAAATCTGCCGAGCGGCAGCTAGAGGGAAATAGAGATAGCTGTCATCGTCTTGTAAATGTTAAACATTATGAAGCGCCTCGTAGTATTTGATTTTGATTGGTAAAGAACATTTTCACAATCAATCCGGAAATTGATTCAGAACTAATTTATTGATTTTATTAAAGGTCTTTGATAGACCAAAACTCGGATACTTGGATAATTGAACAATTGTCACCAACAATCGCAGAACAGATAGATGAATTAAAAAACAAATATCAATGGACAGATTTAATGTATTAATATTCTTTTTAATTAACTGGATTGTCTTAAAATTTTTATTTAAATAGTAAAAAATTTCAAATTCGCAGGAATTATTTAGTTGGAGAAATATATAAGCAAGGAATAACTAAACAACAATTTAACCAAGCATTTGCGGCAATTCCGTTCGTAAGTGTTACTAATTGCAGACCTTACATAATATTTCCGAGTTTTCTTTTTATTTAATTTACTAATTTTTAAAGAAGCCGGAAATGATTGAAGCGCTTAGAATGATTAAAAACGCTAATGGCGACATAATAATCCTTTCAGATGCTAACACGGTGTATATTGAGGAGATATTAAAGGTTTGTGGAATAATTTACGAATTCAGATGTAGCGCAAGTAAATTGATATTAGACACAAATTTTAGGCATATAAAGTCAACGATCTAATATCTAACGTCATCAGTAATCCTGCTACATGGGATGAAGATGGTAGATTACATATTCGAAGATTAAATAATATTCCTCATGGATGTGAAAATCCATGTTCAGAAAATATTTGTAAAGGTCATGAACTTATTAAGTTTTTATCAGCACATCCGAATGAATATTGTCAAATTATCTACGTTGGGGATTCTTCTAATGATTTTTGTCCTGCAACCAAAATGTCTAGGTACGCATACATTACATTCTATAGTATACAATTTTTTTATACAACTTTTCAAATTAATTTTATTTATGTTAGTAATGATATCCTCTTGGCTCGTGAAGGGTTCAAGCTTTCAAATTTTTTAAATGATACTTTACCGACTTTGCATAAGTATAAAAATACGGACAGACGAATCAGGCCGCGAGTTATTTACTGGAAAGATGCCAGAAAAATACTTGAATTTATTAATGATATTTTTGGAAATCAAAATAAATAGAATTATTGCTTTAATTATAAATTAAATATTACGTTTATTCATGAAATGATTATTTTATTTCTCTTCGTTCAATTTTAATTAATATTTTTTTTCTGATACTTGTTTACTTCTCTCTTGCCTCATACGTGTTTCTCTTTTAGAATCGTTAATTGCATGTCTAACATATAAGCCCAGTATTATTGCCATTGAAAATGCTACTAATGGTTGAATTATGGTTTTCGAAGTAATTTTAGCCATTCTTTTATTCAACAAGTGTTGTGAGTCATAGTAATAATCACGATATATAGCATGTGATCTCATAGGCAGAAATTTGTAGATCTACATGTGATTATTAGCCAATCAAATCATAAAAATCATAAAAATTTGTGACGTTTACAAATTTGATATCAGACGCATGATTTTTCACATCCAAAAATTTATCATATGATTTTCATAAATTACACAAATTGCCGAATTTACATTTTTTTAATTTCGCCCAAAACCTTGGCCCTAGTACTTTATGTTGTTTAAAACAAAGTTGTTGCTGAAGTCTTTACAAATCAGAAAGTACAAAAAATAATAAAAACCAGTTTTTTTTTGTAAATTAATATAGATTCAAAACTGTGCAATTCTTTTGTCTTTTATTTGATCTTCAATTTGTAAATATTCATTATAAAAATAGATCATTAGATGCATTGAAATAAGAGCTTTCTTCAAAATGCATTTGTAAAGAACAGGTGCATTATGAACATAATGAGAAAAATCAGAGAAAACTGCTTTATATATAGGTAAATTATATAAATTTAACATTTTTTCTTTTATAATTTAACATTATTTAAAAAAAACTTTTTTTAAAAAAATAATTATAATAATTTTTTTTTTTTTTTTTGATATTAAACTAGCCTCTTTTGGGCTTAGGATTTTATTCAGTAAATTGGACATAGGGACTTGTGGCCGAAGTCTCAAAGAAGTCATCTTACATTAGAGAGTACAACTAGTCACATGTATATTTTTGATGTCTAATTTAAGTAGTCTGTTAATAGTTCTATACTAGCTGTCATACCTGCAACTCAACTAGGAGCATTGCCTATTTAAACCTTTTGTGTTGCAATTCTTACTGTGTCATTAGATCATCTCCGATACAGTTGTCAATCAAGAAGGTCTAGATACTTTTACCTATTTCCCTTAGGATCTCATATCTTATTTCATGCAATATATTCTTAGAAGCATTGTTACTAGAGTCTTCTGTATTTTATATACAGTTGACCTAGTTTTATATAACATGTTATAGTTACCCAACACTTGCAGTTATAGGGGTTACCTGTTTAACCATTACATTATACTATTTCTACCCTTGTAAAGTTCACCCAAACCTTAGTACCTATTATTCTAACTTCTTCTCTTCATCCTTCTACTATCCAACTCAAAATCCAACAGACTCTTCAGACTTCCAATCTAGATAGTTCAGTATGGTATACCTTAGTATTCTTTTTCTCTGACGATTTTGGCAGCTTAGTTGGTCATATGCTTCTCTACACATTTTTCCATCTGGTTGCATGTCCACCTATTCCTTATTGGAGTTTTCTGAGCTTTCATCAGTCCAATAGCACTGTCGAAGTCTTGTGCTACTCTTTACTTAGAAATTTCTAAGTGGGCTTTCATCTTTTTGGTTTCTTGATCTTCTACATCTGGTGGCCTTATCATGGGTTTGCACTGAAATCTTATACAACACTGGTTATTAACATTCCTCTATGTACATGTAACATTACACTTCACATAGATGCCCCAGGCTTCCAATAATGAGTAGAACCCAATTGGTTGTACCCAAGATTACAGATGCCTAAATCTAACCAATCGACAAGAGGCAGTTTACCATAACACAGATATAATTACCAAATTTCAGTATAGGTAGGATTTGAATCTTAGACCTGCCACTTGGAGGATGACAGCCCAACCACTACACTAGGATCGCCATCCTATTATAATAATTTTTATTATTAATATTAAATTATTTAATACAATATCTTTAATTATTTAAATCTAAGTTTGTAATTCTGTTTTTTTATTCTAATATACCAATTATATCATCAATTTCAAATTTGGTTTGAATTTTAATAATTTGTATAAACTGTCAACTTTTTAATAAAACTTTAATAACTTCTAAGAATAATACAGTAAAGACTTTAAATTCTTCAAGTTTTAGGAGAATTTGGTTTTCAATAGCTGTAGATATATGTGTCAAATGTTGTTTTTTTTAGTAAGATAATTTAGAAGATGATCTTGATTGTAAGTTTTAGTTAATCTTCTTAACTTTTATATTATTATATAATTTAGATACTTGAGATTCTTTTGACATTACTTGATTAGTTTCTGCTTTTACATATTTTTTATTTTTTTTATTTTTATAGATACTAGAATTGCTTATATGAAAATATTTTTTTTAACAATATTGTTTATTTTTTCAATTTCTAATTCATAGCAAATAAACATTTATTGGTATTCATTTTCTGTAAGTTGTGTAGTTTCTGCAAATAATATACTAGTTTTTGATTGTTGATTGTCAAATTCTAAGCTAAGTTCATTAATTAGTTTCTAAAAAGTTTCATAATGACTTTTGATAGATTATGAACTTTTGCTAACTAACTAACCATCAGTAAATTTTGAAACTAATAAATTAAGTTGATTATATTCTGTTTGTATTATTTTGATATTTAACTTTAGATTTTTTAAATTTATTATATAACTAGTTATATTTTCTTTTAGAAATTTTATTTTTAAATATTTTTAGAGCTTCATCAAAAGTGAAATAATGTCCTTTCTATATCAAATTAATTGAAAATATTGTTTAAAGATTTTGAAGAAATTATGACTCATTTTGCAACTCTGATATGAATCAAACTACTAATTTTATATATCTATATTTTCTTGTAATATGAAATAAAGATGCAAATACTATTAAGCTGTATAGTTGTAAATCAAAGTTTCTAATTTAAATACTCACTTGTATAATTTTAAGTATTCTACCTATTAGTAAAAATTATATTATACTTTTAAGAGATTATTGTTTTTTTTTAAAGATATTATTAATAGAGATATTTTCTTTTTTTATATATTAATGAATTGCAATGCCTATAGTCATCTAAAGGAACTCAAGTACTCTAAACATTACTTAATAGTCAATAATCTATCAAGCTTGTCAAGGAACTTAATGCCAAACTATATAGTAAGCCCAAAAAGCCTATAATCTGAAAAGGTAGTAATTATTGCATTGTACATTGCCTTGTTAATATATCATTGTTCTAGAATGCAATATACAGTTTGTTTATTATTTTTATAACTTTTTATATAATAATAGATTATTTCATCATATACTAAATTTAATATACTATTTTTTATACAATCAAAGATTTCTAAAAACATGTCAATAGCTTTGTAAATATGCTTGTTTTTACTTGAAGTTTTTCCTAATTCAAGAATTACAACATTTAGAAAAGCTACAAACATCGTTAAATCAATATTATTTTTAATAATTTTATTAATATATTTACTATTAAAAGTTAGCCTTTTGTCAACTAATTGATTAAAAATCCAATTTATTTTGGTTTGCTATTGTTCTATAATCGAACTTATACCAAAAAGCAGATAATTGTTTATTTCTTTTATAAAATAATCATCCTAAATTAACAAGTTTCAAACATTGATTAAAAGATTATTTATACTATTACATATGCAGTATTGTGTACAATATCAAAAATGTTGCCTTGTTGAAAAATCAGATCTTTTATGTCAATGTTGTCAATAGCTGCAATGTTTAAAACATTTGGATTTAGGTTTAGTTTTGACTGAAATTTGTAGCAGACATTTTTTTTTTTGGATATGAACTTTATGATCTTTAATGTATACTAATACCTAAACTGTATAAAGAATCTTATATAAAATTTCTACCATTTTTGATTATCAACAAAAAGAAAAGAGAATATAAATAAAACATATTTTTTATTAGAAAAAAGCAATTGCAAAGTATTATAGAAGAAAAAAAAAAAAAAAGTAGTTCAATTTTTTTTTTTCAATTGCAAAAGAGGCATGTTTCTTTTTTTTCTTTTCTTAGTTAATATTTGCAATTTTTTTTTTTTATAGTTAGAATTAAACTATAAAAAAAATTAATAAGAAATAATGACATTGCTAAATAATATTCTTTTAAGAATTTGGGTTCTTCAAATGATAATAATTTTTTTTTAGATTGGATCAGATCATGCTTTTAATATAAAAGAAGTAAGCATGCTTTCTAATATATTGTATATAACAATTTTTGATAATAGTTCTTGTTTTTTGCTAACTTCAATTATTTTAACAACAAACACTATTTTTATTAACAAGCAACTTAAAACTGTAAATATTGTAGAAGATGTACTGATAGCATCTTTTGTTTCAGATCTATCTGTTGTAATATTATCAAAAAGTTTAACAAATTTCTTTAATATACTAATATTTGTAGATTTATTTTTAAGTTTAGTAGTTTGTTTAATTCACTTGATTAAAAACTTCAAAGTAGAAAATCTTAATTTGAAAAAAACTCTTTCCTGTTCACCTCTGATCGGAAAAAGAAAATAAAAACAACAATCATAAAGTCACTAAATACAAAACAAAACTCAACAAATAAGTCTACTTCAAGGGCCAAAGCCCTTGTACCAAAGAAAAGAAAACTCCCTCTAAGAGTTGAACCTTTATCGACAGAAAAAAT